CCTTCTCTGGAGATGTTCAAAACCTGCCTGAACACCTTCCTGTGTAAATTCATCTAGGTGTTCGTGCTCCGGCAGGGGGATTGGACTAGATGATCTTTTGAGGTCCCTTCCAATCCCTAACATTCTGTGATTCTGTGATATGTAGGGAATGGCAGGACTTTTTTTCAGTGGTTTAGTCTGTAAAGGTAATCAGAGCAGCAGCTTTTCATCTTAAGTTGGAAGAGGCATACTGAGTAAATGTAGGCAGCAGAAATCTTGGGAAAACCATGGTTTTAATTCTGTGGAAAAACACTGCATTTTTCAGTCTGTAATACGGCTTATAAAGATGAAATGAGGCTTTTAGTTATTTCCTTTGGGTGATATAACATTTAAGGCATTTATGACAGTGTGCAGTTACATGGAAATGCAGGACTTGTGTCACAGTCAAATTCATCTGTGAGACAAAGCTTGGTCTGAATTTGTGGTACCACTTGAACAAATCCAGCATAAATATTGACATACCTGGATGCGTGTAAAATGGTGGGAGTAGTTGTGATGTAAGCAAGCACTGGCTGTCACTTCAAATCCTTGTATAAAGACTGTGTTAAGCTACATAGAAGTTGGGGATAATTCACACTCTGTAGGAGCAGAGCATGAAACTCCCACTTTAAACTTGAGCTTCAGTGCACAGATGGCATTTAGTTCTGTCCAAAAATAAGTAGTCCATACACTTCTATTTGTGGAGGAAAGAAGGGATTCTAGGCTGATCTTAAAACAGAGAGCTGGCAAAACTGCTGAAAGTAAGATGATGTATTGTGTTTACATCACACATGTTTATTTTTGAAGTCTTAACACTGAATGTATGGTATTTTCTATTACGCAGTGTGTATTGTAGGTATGTTCTGTACCTGTTCATTTTGTTATATTATTGATAGTGCCTGGAGTTTTTAGCTTCAGCTTTATTTTGGTGACAGGTCGGGGAGGTGCTGGCATTTCGGACCTTAGCCATAATTCAAGTGGTCAGTTACTGGCTGTGGAACAATAGCATAAAACTGGGTCAGTGGTGAGCTAGAGTTGGATGTTCATCCAAACTGCCTCACTACTTACATATGTGTTTTGGAAAGTCACATTTTCTGTTTTTAAGAAAACTATCTCTTACGTCATGAATCCTTTATTGTGAGGAATTATGGGCTACAGAAACTGCCTTTACACTTGCATTTAAATAGGATTATATTACGAGAGAAAGAAAACTGACATCATATCTGGAAATAACTGTTAATATCACAAGTTATTGTGATACAATATTGATTTGATAACATATTGATTTGATTGATTACATATTTAGTTTTTTCACTGTGAACTTTTGTTGCTATCAATTGTGAAAGATCTTTTGTATTAAACTGCAGTATTGAATGTTTCCTGCAGTGAAATACTAATGAATAATTATACTCTAATGCAAAAAATGAGGCATGTGGATTACCTCACCTCTGAATACTGTAATCTTTGTACTTAAAGATATACTCTGTTTTACAGATAAATTTGTGGATTTACAGTTTCCTGTGTAGTATACCTTTGAAAAAAATGCCAATTGGTTTTATTTTCATCATGTTACAGAGAAGGGAAAAACTAATGCTTCACTGAGAGGTTAAGGGTCCTTTTTTATTCCTGTAAGGATACTGTTTGTCCCTTCTGTGCGTTACTGTGTGAAACTTCTAAAGCCAGAAGGGAGATCAGGTGAGGAACAACTTTGGGAACTGTTGACCTCACAGGTCACAGAGTACCTATTCAGAATTCCAGACTTAGAGCTTTTAGCTGAAGAAGCACAGAACTAATAGAGCAGGAGTTCACTACAGGTAGAAAGAAGATACTTGGACCGTATCATAACGTATTTCTCTTGTGTTTTAGGAAATAAGAATAATTATGAATGTTCAGTGTTTCTTGGTGGTTTTAATAGGACTCAGGTTCCTAAACTCTCTGAGTTTGAGTTATCAGCATGAAAAATACTGACCTTAGTCTGACAGTTTTAGAGTTCTTCTGTTGCTGAGGTTGAATGTATTTCCCATACCACAATACACCAATAACTCCAGCTCCCTTATCATAGTGTTTTGGTCACTCTTGACTTGGGTAGAATAAGTGATGTAAAGCTGCACACATTTCATTCTTCTAACTTTATTTTCCATTCAGATTTTAGTTGTTCGTATGCTTCAGAATTTTCAGAGCTGGTTAGTCTGCATTATTTGAGTAAAAACCACTTATTGTTAGAACTTGAAAAAAAAAAAACCCAACAGAGTGAACATATTAGTAATAAGCATACCAGTTAATAGATTTATAACCTGAGATTTATTTTCCTGTTCTGCTTTATTTGGGTAACTGTTTTCTTCTTCTGAACGTGAGTGTCCAGTAAGACTGATCTTTGTTTAGATTGTCTTCATAAATGCAAATTAAACTAGTTTTGTATAACTTCTAGTCGCAATTAATATATTGCAGGAAAATGTGTATTTCACAGAGCTGCTTCCACAAAACCATGCAGCATGAGTGTTGATGGTTTTTTCTGTTCCTCTGTAGTGTTTTTCGTTGTTGTTTGAGTTAAATACATAAACTTTATCTTCCAGTCACATCAGTTATGTTAATGGTTTGTTTATGATAAAATCAATATAATTCCACTTTCTTTAAAGGCATGACCAAGGTTAAAGTAGGCAAGGAAGATTCTTCATCTACTGAATTTGTAGAGAAAAGAAGAGCAGCTTTAGAAAGGTATGTCTCTAACTAAGACTTGCTTAGCCTCAGAATTACTTGCAATACACTATGTGGGCTCTGTAATTGGAGTCTGGACCATTTGTACTTAAGCGGATTCCAGAGGCCCTATGCAGCTGCCAAATTTTTGTATAAAAATGGAGTAATTCCCATTAATAATGAGAAATGTAGCCTTATTCATAGAGATAATTATAGCTAACTCTTAAAATGTTTGGTGCTTAAAATTAAGATTGCAGAGATTCAGTATGTAAAACTTTTTTATCAGCTTACTTAGGCATTTTGTGTTTAAGGAATTACGACATTTCAGCAGTATATCTGTTTCATAGAAAATCAGTTATTGGATATGGAGACAGGTGAAAGAAACCTTCAGTCACTTGAAAGTAAAATCGCCTTCTGATGACCTTTTTTTCTCTGCCATAAATTGGCAGTTATTAGAGGAGGACTTCACTCAGCTTTTGAAAACATGAAGTATATTATTTTACCACTGTGCAACATACAGTTATGGCAGGTCCCACCTTAAGGACTTTCTATGTAAACAAAATATGTTAGAAACCACTGCCTGCACCTTTGGTTTGTTATGTTGTGGTACAGAGTGCATGGGGCTGCATTACTTTTGGTCAGAAGTCCCAGGTTTTGTGGCAGCCTTATTGGAGTAAGCCTACAGTGAATGCTTCAACAGCTTAGTGATCCTAGCTTGTAACTCCATGTAGGACTTAGCATAAGTGTTTGTTGGAGGAGCGTGACAGAATGCGTAAATATGGTTTCAAGAGTCAGCAGAGAGGCAAAGGATTGAAGGAACATGGAGACTGAACTGTCATCTGATCCTTTAAAGGTGACTTTTTAAGACCATTCAAGCCTCACTAGATAATGAGGGGAGGTTGTGTGCTGCATTCTTCCTGTTCTTTAGATGAAGGACAATTTTCAATGCTGTCAGGCACATTAGAGTTTTGTTTTCTAATATTTTAATTTTTAAAATCATAGGTATCTACAACGAACTGTGAAACACCCAACCTTGTTACAGGATCCAGATTTAAGACAGTTCTTGGAAAGTTCGGAGGTATTTAAGTTCTCCTTTTTGTTTCTAGACGTCGTAACTTACAAAACAACGTATTTTCTCTGTATTGGCACCTAATCCCCTAAACTCATATGAAATCAAATTGGATTGTACTTTTCATGGGACTGAGTGGCAGAGGCTGCTTAGCAGGTAATGGTGTGCCTCTGCCTGTGATAAGACTTGGAGTAGTAGTGACCAAAAGCTATTTGCTGTTCAGTGACTTCTCAAGCAAGTTGGCCTGTCTAGTTCTGAGTGAAGCTTGTTATACATGGTGAAAATCCATCGTAGATATAAGATCAAGAATTAAACAGTCTTGGAAGTAGCTATCGTGCCTCTAGGAGACCAACTTGAGTAGTAGAATAATAAGAAAATGCTAGCAGCGTTGCTGGCCAGGCTAGATGTTTTGTGAATAGAGGAGTTCAGTCACCCATGCTATCAATCTGATACCTTTCACAATATTAAATATATTGTTAAAGATACATAATATTGCTTCATAAATGTGCATAGTGGGTTTAGTGTAATGTTGAACTGTCTTTTGGCCAATGTCAATATCTTACTTATAAGTCACAGAGTCCTCACTACTGACAAAAGCATAATTGACAGATAATGTACAGTGGATTTGTCAATGCTGCTGACAGACAAAACATCACATGAAAAGTAAATGGTCTGACACAGGGGCCACCTTTTTATGGCATATTCAGACTAGCCTGCATAAGAATATCAATTAAATTTAAAGTTTGTTAACTTACCCCTGAGGATTTCTAAGTACCTAAGCAAATACACAGTTCTCTAGGTACGCATGGGGTAGGCTTGGAAATCTGGCCTACATTGAAAAGCAAGAAGACATAAACCTTTCATAATGGGCATACAGTGCAAAATTTGCATTACAAGTAAATGTTTTACAGAATTTCTTTTGTCTAATTTGTTGTAAATCTAAGCTTTTCTGTTCCTGTAGTGGCAGTTTGTTCTCTGTAGTGTATAGGTGGCTAGTTCATAACAACTTTGAACAAGTGGGTTGTTTGTTCCATTTAAATGTAAAGATGTAGAAGAAAAGTAAATAGTCTGTATTTTTAAGTTTTCCTCTTGAGAATGTAAAAGTAGTAAATCTAAGAAATTAGATTCCACTATATTGGAACACATAGGAGTAAAGAAAACACTGTATCATTTTCTGTCCCCCTTGTGCCCAGTTAAACCTCCATCCTTTTAACCAGACTGTTTGCCCTTATTTGTCATTCAATTCCAGCTGCCGAGAGCAGTTAACACCCAGGCTCTGAGTGGAGCAGGAATATTGAGGATGGTGAACAAGGCTGCCGACGCTGTCAACAAAATGACAATCAAGATGAATGAATCGGATGCAGTAAGAGCTGATTTTTCGGCTTGAATAATGAGACAAATTAATGAGCCTCAGCAATTGCATTTTAAAGCTGTAGAAGTAGAAAATGGGTTATTAATTTGCTTATTGGTTTGAATTCCTAGCCACATCGGTTGACCACCCTGGCAGTATGTGGATAATTTGCTTCTTTAAAACCAGAAATCTTGTTGGTAATCTAACTTGTAATGCTGGACTCTTTCATCTTTTGTCAGTGGTTTGAAGAAAAACAGCAGCAGTTTGAGAATCTGGATCAGCAACTTAGGAAGCTTCATGCCAGTGTTGAAGCATTAGTGTGTCACAGAAAAGGTAACTGCTTTTATGTGGCTGTATAAACTGAAGTGCTTAGAACTTTAAGAAATGGTGACGAAACCAACTGAGCGATTCTGTGATTCTGTGTGAAACAAGAGCTTAGTATGTCAGAACTCTTAACTAATAGTTACACAGTATGTTTTAATGCAAAAGTCTTCTAATTGTACCTTTTAGTTTAAAATGCTCTAGCATTTTTGTATACCTGGTTTTAATCTTAATTTTAACCAAAACATCTATCATTCCTAAAGTTACTGTATTGATTTAGCATAATTTTTTTTCTTGCAGAGGTTCAGTACCATAACTAGCAAGTGATTCTACTACAGTAGACATCCATAAATGTATTTCTAGGTCTCGTGGCAAGAGTCATTTCCCTGTGAACAAAAAGTGGCTGCATAAATCCATTTAATCATTTTGGTTCAGTATTGTTCTGTTCACTGAGTTTAAGCTCTTAAACAGGAAATTTACTATGCTTAATTTGGTCACGTAATGATACATCATCAAGCTAGTGTTAAAGTATACTTTTCTGGAAAGATATGTAGTCTCAGATGATTATCTTTTGATTTACTTACTTTAGAAAGAAGCAAAGCTTGTAAGTTTATATTTTTAGTCACCTGTGCTGATGTTTTGTCAAAGATCGCTTTCCATCAGATTATTTAAAAACACAGCAAACCAAAAAAATCCAACAAAAGCACCAAAATCTTGAATTGTAGTTCAAGGAAGACCATAAATTTGCCTTCTGACACTAGTAGTATGTTAAAATATGGGATTATCTTTCAGCTCTACACTTTTAAAAGTATGTGAAAATGTCTTGAGTTGCTTTCTCATAACTCTATCAGGAATTACTCTCTGTAATAAAAAAATCTTTGGCCAGATGTCCTCAAGACTTAAAGAGTCTTGAAGTAGTGGAAAATGGAAGTGTTTGTTTACTGTTGATTTGACACCTGCTAACAGATTTGAAAAAGCATTTGTTGTTTGGTTTGGGGTGGTTTTTTTTGAGTTGCATTTAAATTGTAAGTGTTTTTAGATATCTGAAGACATTTTGCTTCTACAAATATTTCTGGTGTTATGATTCTGCAGAAGCAGCACAGATGCAAAGAAACCTGCACTTTTTTATCCTGAAGTAACTTGGATTAAACATTTGTTCAAAGGTCCTTCCTAGGACTTAACTTTGTACAGAATTGCTTACATAGGATTTGATGGGACAATTGCCCTAGTATTTGTTATTAAATAAGCTCAAAACTTACCTTCACAGATGCCAGCCTTGCTGGTATGGTTTTTTTAAGTGGCTTTTTTTTTTCCTTTTAAGGCATGTCAGAATGCAATACATTACAGTATGCACAGTTGAAGGTACTTTAATCAACTAAGCAGTCCAACAGAAATAAATTCCACTCATAGGGGTGGTGGTTTTGTGAAATAATTGGGTTTTTTCCATTCTGAACTGTATGGAACAACTGTGCTATAGACCCATAATTTGTTTTGAATTGGCTCTGTAGGTGACTTGACTTTTGTTTTGTGGGCTTGCATTTTCTCTGAACCTAGGCCGTTGGATAATACCAAAGTGACATTTTTTTTCTGTGTCTCTTGCTAGACAGAGTAGGCATAGCATTAAAAGGCTCAGCAAAACATTCACTGATGGAGAGGGTTTTTTTGTGCAGGAGTTTTTTCTCCTAAATGTGGTTTCATTGTGAACTCCTTATGTATTTCGTAATGAACTATAGAAACACAGCTTATCTTTTTCAGTTGTTGACGTAAGAGTTCAAATTGGGCAGAGGTCTCTGCTCCACTGATCTATGCTGCAGACTAATATAACAAATTAACTACATTGTACTGAATGTTATCACTGTATTTCAGAGCTTTCAGCCAACACAGCTGCTTTTGCTAAAAGTGCTGCCATGTTAGGTAACTCTGAGGACCACACTGCTCTGTCAAGAGCTTTGTCCCAGCTTGCAGAGGTTGAGGAGAAGATAGATCAGTTACATCAAGAACAAGCTTTTGCTGACTTCTATATCTTCTCAGAACTGCTTGGTGATTATATTCGCCTCATTGCTGCAGTAAAAGTGAGTACCCCTAGGAAAAATACTGATTTTTGTCTTTGATTTTTGTCACATTCCTCAACTTGCAGATTTAGAGTAAATGAATGTATGCATTTGCACATGTCGTAGCACAGTTAAGATTAAGGTTTTTTGCTTGAAATTCTAGCTGAGTAAAATGAATGCATTCATGATCAGTATTATCATTCCAGTGATAAAAATGGTTGTGATCAAAAAATGGGAATGGATTAGTAAGAGTCAGACAAAATGTAAATGGTGAACATCATACACTTTGAACCGTATTAATTGTGCAGAGTATTTGGGGACAATATACGCTACTGTGTCTAAGAACACAGTACTTGTTTCTTTCAGATTACTTATTTTTACAGTATGTTAATAAATTTTTGAGAACAAATTTTGTGTGTATTTGGTAGATAGCCAATAGTTTATGTAAATAAGAAACAAATACAATTTGTGGGTCTGCATCTCATTAAAGAAAATGTTCCATTTTGGTGTAAGTAATATTGCACAGCATAATTAGATTTTGACATGGGAAGGGGTGTTTACAAATTTTATCCAGAAATATCTTTCAACTTGCCAGGTTGTTGGGTGTATATGTTTTTATTTTTATTTGCTTTGCTTTTTGATATGGATACTTTAATTCTGCTACTTTAGTCCATTGCTAACAAAAATGTATTGCTGTATGCATGTAATCCATATGCACAAAAAGTTCACTAGATTCTGCATTTAGAGAAGTATTTACACAACAGAACACTTTGTAGTGGTTGCTTTGGTAGTGTTTTAATGGAATGAGGAATGTATAATGGTCTGAGCCACTAAGGTGTCTGCTCTGCAGAGGGTTCTTGAATACCCTGTTATTTGAGGAAGGTTTTGAGCTGTGCAAGCATGCTGTCAAATAGAATGCCGGTAGACGTGATAGACACAGTAAGATTTCTTTGAGTGTACTTGTTCCAGTTTTATCCAGAACTACCTTTTCCCACTAGGAATTTAGGTAGCTCTTACAATTCCCATTTTAAAGTTTGTCTGTCCTCACAGGGTGTGTTTGATCATCGAATGAAATGCTGGCAGAAGTGGCAAGATGCTCAGGTCACTCTACAAAAAAAACGTGAAGCAGAAGCAAAGCTCCAGCTTGCCAACAAACCTGATAAATTGCAGCAAGCTAAAGATGAGATAAAAGAGGTAATGTTATTAAACATTATATTTAAGGTCAGACTTTCTGCATTGAGCCATTCATTCTGCATTAATGCACTACTTCATACCATTTTTATTTACAAATCACTCATTTGCTGTTTTCCGTATTTACCGAAATTGTTAAAAGGAGTTTATTTAAAATATAAAATGTGTACAATTGTTACTCTTTGTAAGATCTGTAAGACAGTTAATACTGTCTCAACAATCTGGGAGATGGGAGGAAGAGAACATGGACAAGCTAATACTTTTAACTGTTAATAGATGGCTTGGGTTGGCAGAGCAGCATCTCTTGGCTTCTAAAGCTAAAATCCACCTAAGTTGATTAATGGAGAATTGTTCCCATGTTTTGCTTAATTATGCAGCATATCTACCCATATATGGGTAGATATGCTGCATAATAATATATATATGGTGTATTTTCAGTAAAAATTAATCTAACATGTTGAAATGTCATAATTTATACACTTTTTCTATCATGCTTCACTAAGGAAATTGAAGAGGTAGGACAACTGATTTATTTAACATTCATGCATTCTAATTATGCACCAGTATTCTCCCTTTAAGTAATGGGAGAACATCATTGCAGATTTCAAGCTGTGTTATGTAGTTACTTTGTTTGGCTTCCTTATTGGTCACTAAGCACAAGTTGCTTTTTTCTTTCTGCCCTTCAATATATTTTGCATACAGTGTTGAAGTTACTCATTGACTTGGTGTTCATTTTCTTAAAAAAAAGGCCTTTGTTTTCTAGGAAGACTCAGTGTCACTCTTGAGTGACCACATTCATAGTGGTTGCCTATGGTGATGTCAACCACAATACAAGTGAGCTGGAATTCCTTGTCAGAAATACCTCCTGAGTACTGGAAGTACTGGGAAATACTCAGTGATCCTTTCTCAGTCCCAGTATTAGAAGAATTAATTATGTAGTTTCTGAAGGATTTATTTTATTTATTACAGTAGGTTGTTACAGTAAATTCACAATTTGAATTTGCTCTTTGAAAGTTATTGTTGCCATTTAAATACATTCAGAGTTGCTGAATTCTGCAGTAGTAGTCCCTCTGGCAGAGAAACTGCGAAGTGGAAGCCTACATGGTTTGAGATTCATCCATGACTCAGTTGACTTTTACAGATAAAAGGCCAAAGAACAGTCCTAGAAATACCTAGCTGAATAAGGAGAAATTTCTTCTTGTCACAAACTGTAAGATGGCAGGGTATTACCCTGCAATAATTTGTATCGGACCTTGCATTTGGGCATGATGAAACTGGGATGTTGGATCCATTAGGCCTGTAGAGGTTTTCACTGAAGTCTCAGGCACTTCTCATTGTTGTCATACAAAGGCACAAGCAGAAGCAATCTCAAACTGCCTTTTCCTTGGCTGCATTTTGTATTGTTTCAGTTATTAGATTGTTCTTCTGTGAAGGTCATCCTATTATGACTTACTGCTTAGCTTCATAATGTATATCTGAAAAGGCAATAAGGGGACTCTGGATAAATATAAACAAAAATATAAATATGTAGATATTTATCAGAACATAGACGATGTCCATCTCATGTCACAATAGTAATTTGACACTGCACCACAAAATGCTTTTGTGAATATTAGCACCGCTGGATTGCTAACAGGAATATGCTATATTGAAGTATGTTGCTTCCCTGCTGGCTTTTTCTGAGGAAGATGAGTGTTACTGGATACATTGGCTTCCATGACTCAGTTAATATGTTAAGATGAACAGAAACATTTTAAATATTTGTTAGCTTGCATGTGTCTGAAGTGTCAAGTTGGTACCTTTTTTCACAGTATATCTACACAGCTAACTTAAATTTAACAGTATAATAGGTGCGTAAAAGCAGTTATAAGGTAATGGAGACTGATGATCTCTTACTGTGTAGCTGGATGTCTTTTCCCATAAACCAAGGAGAAACATAACCTAGTGTTATGTATTGTTAGATGAATGCCACACTCCCACTATGGCAAAACCCCATAAGTAACATCACTTCCTCTGAATTTTCCTTTTGTGCTCTTCTTACTTGCAATAACTTTTCTACTCCTGCTTTCTATGAAACCAGTTCCCACTGAACAAGAATGCGCATGCTTTGGCTTGCTTAAGCAACATGCATTCTGTCTGGAAAGCCAATAAACATATCCTAAATAGCTTGTCATCTGCAGCAGAAATATGATTGAGATAATCATGTACGTGACCATAGGCAGAGAGGAAGATTTAATGATCTCTTCGGGGATTAGAAAAGTAAATTGAACTAACTTTTGAGACTTCCACACTTAATTGAACCGATAGTCAAAGAAAGCTTACAGGTTTAGATTTGATTTGTAGCAGTATTTGTAAAGAGAATAGCTGGTAAAGCTTTAGAGATCCTTTTTATTTTCTGAAGAATCTTTAAAAAAATGTTATTAAGTGTTCCTTAATAGCAATACTAAGGTATTTTTACATTTCATGTACAGATAGCATTACCTTAGATATACCATTGTTTTAACTGATTTGATTGACATCTTGTTATACAAAATATTGCTTTGAAATTGTTCTTGTAAGACTTGCTCCTAAGTATGCAAAAAAAACCAAATAGGTCCTTTTCAGCTCTTGAGTGACTACCACTAATATACTAAAAAAAGTTCAGATACTGATAGACTGAGTGGACAACACAAAGTCTTATCTCTTCATGTCTTTCATTTGCCAGTGGGAGACAAAAGTTCAGCAAGGGGAAAAAGATTTTGAACAGATCTCCAAAACCATTCGCAAGGAAGTGGGAAGATTTGAGGCACGTATAATTTTGTCCACATGAATGATAGTTTTGCGTTAGATAATGTTGACATTCCAAGTAAAATTGGTTAAGAGGTTAATATGCCATAATTTATTTATTAACAGAAGGAACGAGTGAAAGACTTTAAATCTGTTATTATCAAGTACTTAGAGTCATTAGTGCAAACACAACAGCAGGTAAGATAAATTTTAAGTTTTGTACAAGTTCATATTTAATACATTCCGTATTAGGTTAGAGCGTAGTGATTGCAGTTTCCCAGCTATTGCCATGCTCCCTTGCACAGCTCTAATTCAGAGAGCAAGAGAGAAGCTCCTTTAGGCATATGGGCAAGTGGAGAGTCTTGTCTTCTTCTGAAACTAAGTAATACTTTCACTTACAGATTGGAGTAAATTGTAATGAATATGTACTTAGACTTACCAAAGATATTTGAATACTTAATTGTTTATTGCTCTTTTCAAAAAAGTATAAAATACTGTAAATCAGTAAAACAGTTTCTTGGAGTAACTTGGAAGTAGACCTTGTTCTCAGAAGTGTATGGAATCTTTCATTTGTTCATTCCAGGAATAGAACCTTTGTTTATTTTTTTTTTTTAAAAGGTAGTACTCTTGGAGATAAGAATAGCAAATTGAGCTTGCAAACAAATTCTGTATAACAGTATTCTATAGCATTATGTACAGTGTGTGGTAACAGCTGTGTTGCTATGAGCAGATTTGTGTGTTTATTACTTGTATTTTTTCTTGCGTTATGTAATAATGTGGATGAATAATATGAAGCACCTGTGTTCTTACTTTGTTCAAAGGAGACATGTTTACCTCAAGAGAAGGATGGTATATGTGTTTTCTTTTCCAACAGTTAGTGCTTAGTAATGAGTGTTTTTCTCTTCTCTTCAAGCTAATAAAATACTGGGAGGCATTCCTACCTGAAGCCAAAGCCATCGCCTAAAAGAAAATTATTCCACATGACAAGCCACTCTGGATATTTGTCCTGGATAAAACTAAGTTCCACAGTGAAATCAGTTTAAATCATCCAAATAAACCACTCTATATTTTATGAATTAACATGTAGCTTTTTTATATACTACAGCATTTTATTAACAAGCTGCATGTCCTGACCCTCTTTGAAGTGGACTGTGGCATGATGTTCTGCAATACATTGCTGAATTGAACACTATTGTGTCTTAATACTTGCACTAAAATGTGCACTGCAAGGCCAGAAAGCTGATATTTTTTCTTTAAAATACAATGTTCTGTAGTATGTTTACCTGATCTTTATGAAACAAATTTAATTGCATCGATTACTGTTCACTTAAACATTCCTGTACACAATCATGTTTTTGTGATTACAATAATAAAGGGGATATAAGTTCTGAAACATCAAACACTGGTTTTGTCTGTAGATATTTACTGGTGTTTTTAGAAGTGGCATTTAGAACAAATTGAAATTATATCAAAGGCAGAAACAACGTTTAGTAAATAATGCTGGAAATTGTATTAAAGATTCACAGACATATTTGTGGTCAACTATTCTGTTTTTTAATTCTGAATCTCTTTGTTACAGGTGTTCTTTTCACCTGAAGTTATCACTGTTGTGGTAAATGCAATGTGTTATTACTCGTAGAGTCAAAAGACTGTGATTGGGCAACAGACAGGCATAAACCAAAATCTCTACCAAGTGTTACTCTGAAGGGTTAATAAGATTGCCTGCATGGTCAGATACTGAAGTCCTGCTGGATGGATAAAATTCATCAATTGTCTTCAGTGGTCTCAGGATGCAAAAAAGAATAATAAAGAATAGATCTTGCAATAATTCTGGTAATCAGGGAAGAAAAAAGTATGTAATTCAAATTCAGCTGAGTGCAAGCTAGTTGTGAGGGTTAACATCCTACTTGGATTTTCTTGAGTAGAAAATATATTTGTAGGGACTGGTTGTATCTTCTGTAAGAAATAAGAGCAGGTGAACATTTTTCTGAAACATGCAATATCAACATAGGATGTTGCTGTCCTGTCTTTCTAATGACATACTGAGCTTGTCAATGGCATGTATTCATATTATTAGCAGGTATTAATATTAAAAAGTTTTAGCCAAATATTAATCATATAAAATACATGAGAAGCTGATGCTTTCAGCTAATCATATGACTGTAGGATAAGCACCTGAATTTGTATTGTTTGTGGTCAAGCATAAAGAAACAATACTATTTCTGAATAGAGTGGAAACCTAAATTCAGCTGGAAGATCACACACTGATTTATGCAATGAAATTAGTGTAAACGTTTAAGATTAGTGTGTCCTATTGTTTCTGTGCAGAGTTTTGTTAACTCGGTATTTCTAGGAGTTTTCAAGGAAACTAGTACAGAAACTATTATTAAAAAAAAAAAAGTCAAAGAAACCCCCCAAACATACAACTCCCCCACTCCCCCCAACATGTATCAAGCATTTTTTTAAATTGTGAAATGCTAAAACTTTAAGCTTGTAATACCTTTACCATCAGTGTTTGGTAAGTCATTTAGCTTGTAACTGCATTTTGCAAGTATGCAACAGGTTTATGATGAATAAATTAATCCAGGTAATGTTATGATATACTTGACTTTTGCTTCCTCAATGCTAATGAAAATTGACCAACAGCTCAACATTAAACTTCAGATCTGTTCCAGTGAAAGTGGGTACTTCCAGAATTAAAGACTTAATTTGGACATGCAGAGCTCAAAATGGGTAAGCATATACTTTTACAATCCTTTTTCTTTAAGTGTTTTATCCAGCTTTCGTAGCTCTTGATCTTTTTTTTGCTTCTGTCTGGATTAGAATTTAGTGGAATTATAGATCAGATTTCTTCTCTCTGTGATGGGAGACTCCTGGCAGGGACTAGTGTGACTGTCTATGCTAGACAACTGAAAACAAGAGTGAGTTGTGTAGGTTGGTGGGTTTTTTTTCTTAAAACTGGGAGCCTGTTGGAGAACATATGGATAGTAGCATTTCTGGAGTTCAGTGTCACAGAGGGTTGCTAATACAAAAAATTGTAGTTTTTTTTTTTTCTTTAATCATACAGCTAACTTGAACAGAAGACCCAGATCAGCTGTCGCATTTGGCTAGCATAAAACTCTTCTTGTTTCAAGAATCTGTTAATTGATTTTGTGTATATTTCCTTATGTCACGACAATTGAAGGTTTTCTTATCATTTTTCCTAGTAGTATTAACATCTGCATTAGCAGATATTTCTACAATCAAGTGAATGGAGCTGTTGATAAACTGTTTTCTGTATGGAGCTCACTACATGATCTTGTACTGAATTTAAGTTTTGTTTCCCTGAAACTCCAAGCCAGTGTACCAGTGAAGAGTCACGAGCTTGAACAAAATAAGTGCTTGCAAAATGGTGAACTACATTTGATACTGTATAAAAGACAAGGTGCTACTGAAGTCTAGTTTACTTTTTAGGTTAAAATAAACTCTGTAGATGTTTTCAACAATTTTAAATCATCCCTGTTTTTGTGTACATCATGTCCGTGGTGATTTTTAAATTAAAAAATTATGTGGCTTAAATTGAAGATATTGTTAACATCTTTCTTAAACTGATGTTCAGTCAATAATAAGTCTCATTGTCTCTCTAGTCACTGTCCCCCTTAAAATGAAATATTTTGTTTCCCTAACAATTATTTCTTCTTTTACCTCTCCTAAGTTATTTCCCTCTGAAGGCCTCATATGGGAGGGTTGTTTTTTTTTCTGCATCTCTGGAGTCCATGCCCCAAATATGTCAGTTTCTGTCAAATTCTGGTGGAGATGAGCTGCTGGCTAGTACGTCCTGTGCATTTAAGGGAACAGCCAACATCCACTGAAATTTTGTGTACAGTGAAATGATAGTCTTAAAAAGAAATAAAAAGCAAAACTTACTTTTTTTCCTGTTGTTCTACTTTGAAAGTAGAACAGGCTATGTAGTAATTTGAAACTCTTGCAAAATATGAGTCCTGTAATGGTGTACAATGTGAGAAAAAAACATGTAAAGAGCTGAGGTTTCAGGTTCTTCAAAATGTTATCTGCTAAGAAAATTCTTCCTTTTTTTAACGTTCTTGTCTTCCATAGCTGCATGGGGAGTTAGCTTGCTAATAAATAAAATAACATTCGACTTCACTGCTAAGACGCTATTTTTTCCAGATCAGTGAGGAAATTACTAACAGACATATATATGTCATGAAGAAAATCTGTCATTAAGAAAGAGGGTCTCAGAAGAGTATGCAAGGCAGCTTAGGCAGATTCATTCTAGCAGGATATTTGTATGAAAACTGAAGTAAAAGAAATATGCAATGAAAATGAAAGGGTGAGAAAAGACTTGAGATAAACCATGGATCTGTGTTTTAGAGTGATAAGGTAAGAGCAGAAGGAAGGAATATAGTACAAATCATGAGAAATGCGTTATCTTACACTCACATCTGATGCGGAACTTCAAGGGGAGGAGGTCTCAGGAGGGTAAAGGAGCACTGCAGCATAAGAAAACCTGCAGTTGTCTTACATCATAAGTTGATTTTGCCCCCTTGACCCATCCACCCACATGCATGCACTCAAGGTGTTCAGAAAACAGCCTACTTATGAGCCTCAAATATTCTGGCTGTTAGGAGAAGTACTGAGGTTTTTACTTGATTCTATGAACTCATGTAGAAAACTGACCTTTCCAAAGATATGATTCTGTCCATCTTCTTTCCAAGTGGTCTTGTTTGTACTCAGTGGCTGATGAAACTGCTTTGTGATGTTTTAGAAACAACTACACCGCTTTTAGAAAAATGCAGCTAAATCGTTAGACAAGTGAGAAGGCTGTGAACCCCTTAAAAAGCAAATGTTTTACTGAAAGTTTCATTAAGTATGTTCAATTTTGCTACTGTTTACTTAGGAGACCAGTATCTGTAGGAGTACAGTGAGGTACAAGCTTAAAACCAGTCTTCCTGCTAGCATCTGAAAATTTGGCAGACCGAGGCTGTGATATGATTAAGGACTATATTTTTAATATGGCTTCTTATTTTGATGTGTACTTTACTTATCACTTTGATTAGAATTTTTATATGCATTTCCTTTGCCTACTTCTATTCAGGAAACTAGCCATTCAGAAAGTCTTTGGATCGTGAGAGTTACTTAATGGAAACTGATCTTTCAGAGTTGCCTATGATTGTTCCTTTTTCTCTGCCGTGAATCATTCTAGCCTGACGAATGCTGAATCTGCCACTATAGGAGCAATTCTACAGTCTCAGCTTCAGAAAAAACAGAATCAGCAGTGGCCAATTAAGAGGGTCTTCTGGTCTGTTTTTGAAAATAAATTTTGTTTTTAGATAGTTTGAAAGCCTGATTGTGAAAACCATACTCTTATTCATTTATTTATTTATTTTTAAGTGTGGTGTGCTTCACTGATTTACCTGATTGTAAACAGTGATGATTCATAGTTTCTGAGATCATGGAAGGTTAAGCTGGTGTCTAATGACAGGTAACAGTAAAAACTGGACTATATTTATTAATTTATTTTACCTTCTGGATCAAGTTAATAAAACCCAAGATGTTGATACTCATAAAAAAGAAAAAGAGCATTAGGACCACTACACTTCCTACAGGACATTTTGAGGTCTGTTCAACAGATGACTTTGAAGGCAATGTAATTGTTACCAGTAGAGCTCAACCTTTTTACAGTTTTGCTTTTGAGGTTACTGACATGATTTTAATACATGTTACACCAGTTCAAATCAAGATACATTTAAAATACATTGTCCTTGCTTTGTTGTTTGTGGGAATCATTGTATAATTTGTACGATTAGCTTTCAAAAACAAGAATTTTGGGGCTATTCAAAGTGCACATTGACAGCATTTTATGAATTAATGTTTGTGAAATTTTTGCTCCTCAGTATATGAGACAGAATGACAGCCCTTGGTGAGTCAGCCATGTGGAGAAATCCCATTTTTCCTTTAGATGTAACTTCAAAGATTAACAAACTAATGGTGATATATTGTGCAAATTATTTAACATTCCAAAACATATTGACATATTTGAATTCAGCTCACCATGTAATCTTCCATGTTCCTCTTGGCTGATGCTCAAAAGTTCCATTAATACTATTGAATTTGAAACCAGGTTAATGTCTCAAACTTTTCTTTGTTAGTAAGTTGTATCACATTGGAGAGAAGAGTAGCTTTTTGAAATTATTGGTTATTAGATTGCAAAGAACCACAAATAGTGCCCCTACAAAACTCTTCTACTGGCTTCTTGTCAGTATAAATGCGTCATGGCACAAATGATGTCAGTAGAATTGTCCATCCATTTCATATTAGGGGAAGAACAGAAATGAAGTTTAAAGACTGGAGTCTTAACCAGAAACTAACTGTAACAATAGCGTGATAATTAT